CTCCCGGATCTCCCGTTGCAGCTCAAGATGGCGCTCCTCCCAACAAGCCTCTCGATCCAGGAAAGCTTCGGAGACCAACCCCGAGGATCACTTTTCTCCCGTGGCAGTGTCGGTGGGGTTCCTTCTTAACACGTTCTCCGCCATGGCGACATATTAACATTGGATGTTCAAAGCACGTGTGCCGAAGAATCGGCAAATGTTCAGTGATGTTGGCGCGGCGTACTTTGGAGGAGTTCAGATTCTGGCTAAGTCTTGAAGCATTCCAAATGGTGTGATTGCGGCGTTTTGGCAAGACGTTCCGACCGAGCCGCGCACCGAATTCCTGCCGCAATTTTGCGCGGTGCACAGAGTAGGAGGAGGTCAACACTGCAAGAATTTGTCTTGTTGGCTGTTGTCCGCTGTGCAATTAAAACAAACTTGTTGCTGGTGGGGACACATGCATTTCCCCCAACAAGTAAAGTGAAATATCCAACCAAGTAGCAGTCAAGACTGAAGGTCTTGTTTTGTCAGGGGCCGGTTTTGGAAGGACACCACGCGATACCACAAGAAAGACGCCAATCCATTGGGAGCAACTTGTGACGCAGCCATGCAAACTGCCTGCCTTGCCCTCCTGCTCACGGCCAACGGCCTCAGAGCAGCTGATGGCATTTGGTTGCCTTGGGGAGTTTGGAGACCTCAAAAGGACCCTTCCCTTTGGGGGGCCGTGCATGCTCCCAATACGATTGTCTAAACTAAACCACCCTGCTCTGGAAAGCAACCTTTATGAAATTTTGCGAGTTCGGAATTCCTGTGAGGGATGAGTTCATCAATTTCTGTCCGGACGAGAGTCCATCTATCCCGCATAGGCACCTCTGGTATCTTTGGCAAATATGGTTATTTATCTTTGTTCCCATATGGGCCCTGGTCAAAACTCCTTATGCGAGCTCAGTAAGAACCCATGTGCTGGTCTGTGCTCCCCAGTACAGTTACCTAAGCAAGGGTGTTTTGACCCTGGCACATCTACAAAAGGTAAAGCGAAAGGTCAAAACGTCAACCCCAAAAAATGCGAAAAGGTCAGTGCCCCTTCAAGGACACGAGCGTGTCGCCCAAACACCACCCCACTTAAAGGAACCTCACGGAAAAACTTTTCCCTAGGAAGGTACAAGTGAATCCAACGGGCTGGGGGAATTGCACCTGTGATACCACGGCAAGTGCCATTGATTTGTTGACAAGGGGAGGTTCCACGCTATGACTGGTGATTGGAGACCTCCATGTTGCAAGCGTTTGCTTGTAAGGGGTACATGGTCATCCATTTCCAGACAAAGTGGGAACCAAATCTCACTTCCTCCCCAACTCTTGCCACTGCAATGGTCCAAACCCAAAAAGTCACAGTCCAAGAACTCATAAATGCTGACCCCATATGCATCAACCAGTTTATTGATAGGGGTGGGGTGGGGCCCCTCCAAAAGTGGTCTGATTCCCCACATTTCACCCAGACATGGACACCCCCCCTATAACAAATTGATCTGGTTGGTTGATTTAAAGGGTCATGGATACTCCAGGTAGTTCACCTCAAGCCACTTCCCATCAAACCCAAGGCCCCAACGCTCCCGGCTTCCGGCTTGGGCCATTGGGCTGCCCGGCTTCGGCGCGGCTTTGGTGCAGGCGGCTGCTCAAATCCTCGTGGTCCTGGCTGGACCTGAGGCGAAAACGGGAGAAGCCATCCTTCCGCACAATATATATATATATAGTTTATTTATTAGATATTGCAACATATACATATATAGATAGAGTGTATACATATACATATGTATACAATGTGTATATATATATGTGTGTATGGCATCTTGAAAAGATACCCTCACTCCCACTAACATGGCACCTGAGAGGGGGGTTCCACCACAGGAAGTTTATCTTCCAGGTACTCTCCCACAGCTATGTTAGTGGGAGGGATATGCCCCGAAGAGCAAGTAACATGGACCCTGACCTTCGGGACCCGGTCCCTTTTAAACGGAAAATGATCCAAACCAGGACCCCCCCCCCCCAAAGTCAGGTTCCATGTGAAACGGGTGGGAGGGCACCCCAAGCACCACTTGCTTTGGGGGATGCGACTTTCGTGGCCGGGACTGTGGCATGAAATCACGCAGGTTTGTCCAGGTAGGAATGTCAAATATAGGTGTCCTTTTTAGGCGAGCCTGGTCAAAAATAGATGGCCCTGGTTTAGATGGGTTTTGTTCCATTTACCAGGGCCATCTATTTTTCCAAAAGGAAACCTATGGTGTCAAGTCTAATGTGGGCTTTGGAAGCCAGGCGGATTGGGGGATTCTGCATGTATCGCCCAACTCGGCTTGGATCACAGCAGGGTTCCGCTTCTCGGCTACCCGCAAAACCACTTGAGCCTGCCCCTTACTGAATCACACGAGCCGCCAAGATTACTGGCCCCACTGGCTTGCCATTCTGAAAGTCACCCCAACTTGGTAGGTACAATGGAAGCAACCTCTCATTTTGACTTTGATAACCAAGAACCAACCAAAATCATAACCCCCAGGTTTATGTCCCCAAAGAGCTTCCCAGTTTCGACAGATGTGCTTCTGCCCATCAGCTGCCCTCTAGTTGCTGTCTCTTTTCTCCTCGGATGAGATCATTTCCACTCTTCTGGCCACTCGATGTTGAGGAGAGGATCCTGCGCCGTCCGAATGCAAGCCATGCGAGCCAAGCAATCATGAGCCTTGATTCAGTAGGGCGTCTTTGGAGATTTATCGCTCGGACTGTTGTTATGTCTGATTCATGTTGACCAGCCATCCACCAGGCATCCTGGTTTCAAGCGGGCTTTTGTGCGGAAGATCAGGGGTCAACATGACGTCGATTGCAGTCACAGCAGTGGCTGGATTTTAGTTGGTACCCAGGCGCAGTTTGGGCATGTGTCAGAGGGAGTTGGACGCCAAAACAGGCTTCGGTTTTCCTCTTGCCTTTGTACCAACCTGAAAAAGGTAGCAACTCCAAAAAGGCAGAGGGCACCCAGAAGAAGAGCTGTAGTTGTTTTTGTTGTTCCCCTTCCAAACCAACCAAAACGGGCACCAACTCCAACACCGCCCCAAATTTGGCACTGGGTTAGGCTGTATGAGTGCAACCCCGAAAAATCAACCGGTCGAAGGTGCAGGGTCTCTCAACTCGCAAGTCAGGTGGTTTGCCGCGTCTCAGGTGGCCGTACCGATTGATGTCGCTTCATGGCCGACTAAGAACCCCACAGCCATTCAGCTATCCCACTCCCAGAAAAAAACAATTTTCCACAGGAAGCAGTTCTGGGTGTTAGAATGTGTTAAATTGGGGGCTCTGGAAACTTGTGACAAACGACAAATCACCCATCCCCTTTGTCTTGCTCCCATCAATCTAGAGGTAAACATACCTGGTGACCTGTGGATTCCTAGAAGCACTATATCTGGCTTTTCCCAATTTGCTTAAGTCTCCTGGGAGAGAACAGTTGGCAAGTAGTGATAGATTCCTCTGACAACCAACAACGACAAATACAAACAACCCAACAATAAACATATATACAATCATAACGCCGGTCTGGCAAATTGAAGCCAAGCAAACCCCGGAAACTACTTTGTTCCCCTTTTCGGTCTTTTGGAATCCGAGGGAGGTCTTGGTCGGGCCGAAAAGATTCTTCAGCGAGAAGCCGTGGGAAAAAACCCTCCTTGGTTGAAACACCATCCTGTTTGTTTCCCCAAACGGTATCAATTTCGCTCTCAAGCCCATCGTTTTCCTTTTGGCTTCCTTTTGCTCCACCCAGAACGACCATCCATCCTTTGGGGTGTCCTCTTGTTGATGTCCATGTTGGTTTCAAGGCGTGGACAATCACAATCTATGTGATTCCCATGCCATAACTATATCACTTCAAAGGAAGTGCACAGATTTTGGCAACCTAAACCAAGATTTCCACATACATGTCTACCGCTTTGTTCCCACAGGGCTCCCAAAAAGTCGTTCCCTTGAAACATCACACCGGAAAAGAAGGAACCCTGCAACCGCGTGCGCCTTTTTGGAAAGGTCTTGCCTTTTTGTCGAAACCAAAAGCTTTAACCAAAAGGAGCCATGTTGGGGTCGGGAGCCTTCTCCAGGCCTCCCAACAAAAAGAGGCCGAGCCACCCAACCCCCCCCCCCCAACAAAAAAAGAAGGTACAAGGTTGGTTCTGGGCTAGGGGACTTTTGGTTTGGGGTTTCAGGGTTCAAGGTTCATTCTCAAGATGTTGGTATTGGTTAATTTTGTTCAAAACCCCCCAAATCGGGTGGCCTGTTGAAATCGAAACCCTTCTCCAGGCCTCCCGGAGAAAAACAAGGCCGAGCCACCCAACACCACCCCCCCCCCCGGCCGCTTTCCGGGTGGCCAGTCGCGTCCTGCGGCCCCCGCTTCTTGGAGACCCGCTCCGCCAGCGTGTCGGGCTCCGCGGAGCGCCAGGCGCTCTTGGAGCCATCCAGACGCTCCTGGGACGGGAGGCGCGGCGGGTCCATGGAACACCCTGATTTTTTTGGGGGGATGGGTTTAAAGGGACAAGGCACGGAGAAAAAGGAACCACCATGCATTTATACATATATATATATATATATATATATATAGATATGGGTGTCTTATGTGTATGGTTGTGTTGTAAGTTGTCTGGTGTTGCATTTATGTATTTATATATATATATGTATACAGAAATACCATAGCAATTTCGTGGGTATTGCTCCCATTTGGAGTTTGTACTTATTGGGGGTTGGTTTGTCAAGCGAACCAAACTTGGTGGACTGGCTTCCTTTTCTGGTGGCGCTGTGTTAGGGCTGATCATGAAGGCGAGAATTCAACTGTTCTCTTCTCAGGTTGGTGAAACGCCACCAGCTATGCTCCTTTTCCATGGAGTTGGCACGCTTTCCCGTAAATTGGGAAACGAAGAGAAAGGCCACCAGAGTTTTAGGATCCTATAAATTGAAGCGGTGTTCCTTTTGTGAGGGGGAGGGGGGGTCGCTCGTTTCGAGACGAT